GTGAAGCTGGAGGTGAATGAAAGGTGAGCCCCGCTCATGGCCCCCCTAGCCCCCCAGAGTCCAGGGTGTGCTGTCCTGCCTGCTTAGCTCTCCAGCAGGGCCTGGAAACAAGTAGGCACCCCCTCCCGGCCCCCCCCCACTGAGCACCCCAGGCCCAGTAGTAGTCATTCACCAGAGGGCAGACTCCCTGGGGCCACATTGAAGATTCTTCTCTCTCCCCCACCATCTGCTCCCCTCAGGATCCTCAATTCCTGCACAGATCTGATGAAGGTGAGTGGCTGGGACCCTAGGCTGGACCGTGCACCTGGGAAGGCCAGCCCAAGAGTGACCTGTGTTCTGGTCTTGGCAGGCCATCCGGCTCTTGGTGACAACATCCACCAGCCTACAGAAGGAAATCGTGGAGAGCGGCAGGGTGAGTGGGGCCACCCACTGGTCTGACCGGGCGTCCCAGGCTGGGCCACACCGCCGGGCCAGCGGGGGCCGGGCTCATGAGAGGCGTGTGACCTCCGAGCCCTCTTCATATCAGACCACAACCCCCTTGGCTTCGGTGGATCTCAGGGACTCTCTGGGCAAGAGCTACCTGCCCTGTGCAGTGATGAGCCCCCCCCCCCGGCCCCCAGAATGCACACAACGTGCCCAGGATTCACCCCTCATCCCCCCAGCCCCTGGATGTCCCCTCGTGGCAGAGGTGAAGGCAGAGGGACCCCATGGGGATCCCTTGCCACCTGTGACATCACTGACTGGTCCCCCCTGCCCTGCCTTCCTGTTGCCACTAGGGGGCAGCCACGCAGCAGGAGTTTTATGCCAAGAACTCTAGGTGGACTGAAGGCCTCATCTCCGCCTCCAAGGCCGTGGGCTGGGGAGCCACGCAGCTGGTGTATGTCGCCCCAGGTGGGGGGCAGCAGGGCGTGTGGTGCTCAGGGTCTGGGGAGGGAGCGTGGGGTGGCCCGGGGTCCACGGGGTTGGAGACCCAGGCCCTGCCTGGCTCTGTCCGCAGGGAGTCGGCGGACAGGGTGGTGCTGCACACGGGCAAGTACGAGGAGCTTATCGTCTGCTCCCACGAGATCGCAGCCAGCACGGCCCAGCTCGTGGCAGCCTCCAAGGTGAGGCTCGGTGCGTGGCGGCCTCTCGCCGCAGCCTCAACTCTGGGCCGTGGCCGATAGGTCCCCATGCGGCGGGAAGCCCCCGTGCAGGGGGGAGCTGAGCCTGACCCGCCCCGCACTGCCCCAGGTGAAGGCGGACAAGCGCAGCCCCCACCTGAGCCGGCTCCAAGAGTGCTCCCGCAGCGTCAACGAGATGGCCGCCAATGTGGTGGCCTCCACCAAGTCCGGCCAGGAGCAGATCGAAGAACGAGGTGAGTGTGGGCCCTGCTAGCAGCTGGGGTGGGGGCAGGCACACGGACACTCACCCCCCGCCCCCCCCTGCTCTGGCCACAGACACCATGGACTTCTCTGGCCTGTCCCTCATCAAGCTGAAGAAGGAGGAGATGGAGACCCAGGTGAGCACCAGCTCCTCTTCCAGGGCCGAGCTCTGGGCGGGTGGGCGGCCCAGGTCACGAGGCCATCCTGAGTGGCATGCGGGGCTGCAGGTCCGCGTCCTGGAGCTGGAGAAGACGCTGGAGGCCGAGCGCGTGCGGCTGGGGATGCTGCGGAAGCAACACTACATGCTGGCTGGGGCCGTGGGGACGCCCGGTGTGGAGGATCTTGGCCGACCACACGCTGCCGCCCGCAGCGGGGCCTCCAAGAAGCCACCTCTGGCTCAGAAGCCCAGTGTGGCCCCCCGGCAGGACCACCAGGTGCCAGGCGTCAGTGCTGGGGCCAGAGGGGTCCTGGGGGTGCTGTCTCTGCACCCCAATGTGCAGGGCATAGGGCCTTGGGAAAGTCGGGAACCTCTGATTGGCAGCAACAGGGGGAGGATGGTGGGCAACGGGAGGAGGGAGGCGGGCTCCAGGGAAGGATGCAGGGAGCTAAGTAGGGTGTCTGGGGGCCTGGCCATGTCCCCTGAGCCCCTCCCCTTTGCCTCCTGCAGCTTGACAAAAAGGATGGCGTCTACCCAGCTCAACTCGTCAACTACTAGGCTCCTGGAGCGTCTGCTGGGGAGGCTAGTGAGCAGGCCTGGGCCTTGTGTGGCTGCCCCGACTTGGCTCAGGAGCCTCCAAAGGGTGCAGCCCCCAGCCCCACGGCCAGGGTCAGTGTCCCCGAGGCCCCCAGCTCTGGCTGAACCCAAAGGATCCGGGATCGGGGCGGTTCTCCTGGACATGAGTCTATCTGCAACGGGCACTGGTGAGAGCAGCCAGAACGTAGCAGGCCTGACCCACAGGCCTTCAGGAAATATATGGAACATTTGTAATCTGAGTTAGAGCTTTCCTTTATGAGTTTGGATTCACCCTGGGAAGCAGGGCCCCTGGAGAGGGTGTTTGGGCAGGACCTCCCTGCCTTTTGAACTCAAGGTCTGAAAAACCAGTCCTTGCTGGCTGCCAGGGTCATAGGCAAGATGTCACCTAGTTGTAGCCTTCTTGGGGCACGCATTCCATGGAGACGGGCCCGGGCTGGTCTCAGGCAAAGCAGACTGCTCTAGAGCAGGCATACTGCCCAGGCTCCTTGGGCCTCCCTCTGAGGCCTTGGTGAGGGGAGCACAGAGGATGTGCCCTTAGTCTGGGGGCAGCGGCCAGAGCCCCCAGCTGGTGGGCACAGGTGCTGGCCTGCTGTCCTTCCCAGAGTCTCTCTCTGCTCCCATCTGGGGCAACCCTCCTGGTTCCTGGTTTTCATGCCCCTGCTCACTGTTCCTGCCCTGGAGGCCCTGTTGCGCGTGTTTCCCATCGCCCACCCCCTCTCCACCCCACCCTCCCCTCACTCGGTCCGGCCTGCCCTTCCAAAGCCCTCCCCAGCTCCGCCACCAAAAGCCCGGGAACTAGGACGCCTGCCTGCCCTCCGCCAGGCCCAGGGCACCTTGTGCCCCCCCAGGGAGGGGGCCACCCGGCAGCCCCAGTCCCCCCTTGGCCTGCCTGGCCCCAGTTGGAGGATTTGCAAGAACCTGTGTTCCTGGAGCCCCCAGCCCGACGCCAGGGAGGCGTTGGGAGGAAAGGACCAGTAGCTTGGACCCCGTGAACTTCCCCATCCCACGATGGTCCGGTCCCAACCCCGGTCTGGAGAGGAGTAAAAGGACCAGCTCTTCTGCTTTGCCCTTAGTATTACCTTGTTGGAAGAGTCAGATTGGCAATAAAATGCACTTGGACTGTTGCCAGAGGGGCCGCGCCTGGGCTGTTCATTTCTCCGGGGCCGGGACGTGCGACACGGGGTAGGGGACCACTTAGCTCCTGCAGGGGACTGAGCGCTTGGAACCACAGAAGAGCTGGCTAGAGCTGCTTCTGCCGAGAAGTGCCCTGGCCTGTGTCCTGAGAGCTTTGGGACTTGAGGCCCTGGGACGGACGCCGGTGTGGTGAGTCATGGCTCAGGGCTTCCCACCCTGGCCCCCGCACTCTGCCCAAGCCCCCTGGGTTCCTGTCCCCGCTCCCCCAGCCCGCTCAGAAACCACACTGCTTTGGGAAGGGGAGGAGTGACCACGGAGTCCTTGCAGTTAAGAATGGCCCCTAGTGGGGCTCAGTGGTGGTGACCTGGACCCCTCGCTGGTGGGACTTGACGGCGCGGCCACACCCAGCCTCCCTCCGCTGAACCTGACCGGCCTCTGACTGTGCAGGCCCCCGCCTCCCCCGGGGGTGCAGACAGCGCCCGGCCAGGCTTGCCTTGCGTGCCCCCCTCCCCCGCAGGTCACCGGCATTTGTGGAAACAGACACGGCGCAGGTCTGAGAAAGACACACGGCCCCAGACGAGAGTCCCACTCCCTGAGCCCGGCTTTCCCAAAGGGTGAAACGGGCCCCTGCCTCACTCGCTCCAGGCTGGTTGGGAAGTGTGGGTGGGGTTGTCAAATGGAACCGGTGTCTGGTTCTCATTTGTAAGGGAAAACGGCTGCAGAAAAGACGTTAAAAGCAGATGCTCGGCTCCACCAAATACAAACCAGTGAAAACTGCCCTGCACGGACTACAGCCGATCCAGAGCAATGTTAGCCCGACTGACGTTAAGTCGTCCACGAGCAAACCTTTAACCGGGAGCCTCGGGGTCTGAGCTCTGCGCGCCCACCCCCCACCGCGCCTCCCTGACCTGCTCCCAAGCACAGGGGCTTGGAGGGAGGCGAGGATCGGACAAGGCTGGGCTGCTGAGACGCCACCAAAGCACAGCCCCGTCTACCAGGCGCCCCCACGGGAGGCTACAGATTTGGCCGGAAGCTTCCCAAGCAGCCCCTGGGGAAAGAGCAGCTATCAGACACAAATTCTCAAAAAAGCAAATGGATCTCTCAGGAGAAGCCTGCCTCTTCCTCCCAGGACCACCCCAGCCGTGTCCCTAGCACGTCCGCCCTGTGCGGGGACGGGCACCACTGGCAGCCCAGCTGGAGGCTGCAAGAGGGAGGCTCACGCGGGCCTGGTCTTGGCGCTGTTCTGGCCAACGCAGTGAGGAAAGTCCCTCCTGGGGTGCAGCCCTGGCGGGTCCCTCTCCCAGCACCCAACTCCACCTGGGACTGTTAGGCGGGGAGGGGGTTGTCTCGGCTCCAGAGCAAAAGGTCAGCCACTCCGTTGTCATTACTCGAAACAGACAAGGGCCTGCGTTTCCCTCAGCAGTGCAGTCCATGCTGGTGCCCCGGAGGACAGAGCCAGAGAGACTGAACCCAGAGGCCGGGGAGTTGGGGGGGGGGTCGGGGGGCAGCTGCAACCCTGGGGACACGCTCTCCCACCTTTCTGCCCTTTACTCCTGGCCAGGAGAATCTGGGAAGCAGCACAAAAGGCTCAATCAGTGCCAGGGGCCCCGGTCAAGGCAGACACCTCAGCCATCTTGGGTGGCTTCTCAACTGCGACAGACACAAGTCCGCTTCCCTCTTGGAACTCTGATCACTGAGCATCTAGAACCAAACATGCCGTGAACATCCCCAGGTACAGAAATGACAGGACCGTCATTAATTCTCTATTTATTAAAAAGGGTCCTCCAGCTTTACAGCCCCGGCTCAGGCATGGCCCTGGAGAGAGACGAGGCCAGCCTGGCAGCCCCTTCCCCACATCCACACTGAGCTCACGCGTTTGGCTACACCCTGCACAGGTTGTGGGCATCCCCCGACCTCGGGGCGGGTGGTGGAGGGATGGCGGGAGCACCAATCTCAAGCTTCCCAGAACTCTGAGTGGCAGGGCAGTAAACCGTCCCCCCCAGCACTACAACCCGTGATGGTACAGGGGTGTTCACGCCCAGGGCAGCTGAAGACAGCATGGTGGCCTCGGCCCTGGCCGGCTGGGACCGACCCCCTGCGTGCTCTGTCTCAACTGTCACCTGGGCCGGTGCGACCCTAAAGGGCCAGGAAGAGCCGGGGCTGTGGCCAGTGCGTCCGAGTTCGTTGGCACCCTCTGAGGATCCTGGTGCTGGCTGGCTCCGGCCCCAGCTGAGATGCTGCTCGAGTCCCTCATCCCCCTCCTACCTGGAGGCCCCAGCAGAAGACAGGCTACAAGGATCTTGGTCCCCGGGGGGCGGGGGACAGGCTGCTTCCGCTGGTAACACAACGAACAAGCCCCTCTGGGAACATAAAGCCGCTTACAGGAGCTACCCCTCTGCCTGCCCAGCCTGGGGGCCTGCAGGGGAGCCGGGGCCGGCCCCTCCCTGGCACCAGGGGAAACTAAGGCACAGCACAGGCACCCACAGGTGTGGCCATACACTGCTTGTAAAAAAGGAAATGGCATTCACTTCCGTACTTCAATCTGCTCAAAACAATATTTGCATTTTTATAAAGTTTCCCTGAATGGTCTTGTGTCCAAAAAGTTTCCTTTGCCAATATAAAATAGGAAAATTACGTAGTAAAAATATTGGGGGGGGGGGCGTATTTCTTTGTAGAAACCGTCAGGGGCTGGCCCGCGGCGGGAGAGAAGAGGAGTGGAGGGCATCGCTGCGCAAGGCCCAGCTCAGACCCACCTCCTCCGGCCTGGCTGCAACTCACCCAGCCTCTGGACCTGGCCGTGGGCCTAGTGCAAACGCTGCACGGGGCTTTGAAGCATCCAGGTTTGGGGGGAAGGGGGACTGGCAACCCCCGGCCCCAAATTCAGTAAGCACCTTCCAGGCCAGCCCACCTGACCCGCCCTGACCAGGGACTGTGGCGCGCGGCGGGCGAGGCCGCACGGCCTGGACTTTTGCAAACAAAGCAGAAATGATGGAGCATGCTCATTAAATAAAGTTGCAATGGGAGGACCACAATTCTAAGTGGGGAGGGAGGGACGCTTTTCCCCCAGACTTAGGAGTCCATCAACATTACAAGACTTAAAAAATCATACCGAAAACCAACCAATGCGACCGTGGGGATGCCAGGCTGAGGCCTTGCACACACAACCTCTTGGGTACAAAACCGGGGGCCTACGGCTACTTACCGCTGACCTACAGCTCTAAAATCAAATGGACGTGCTGGCCCAGGGCACCGGCCCCCTGGTCCTCGCAGCCTGTGTGTGCAGAGCCCCGGCCGGCAGGTGCAGCCTCCCAGGAAGGACGGGGGAGGCTCACTGGAGGATGAAGCCTGGCTGGTGTGGAGGCAGCCGGGGCGGGGGTCTCTGGGGGAGAGCGGGCGGGTACGGAGACACGAACTGCGCGGCGAATCCTTGCTGGGGGGGCAGGCCCACGCGGGGGGGCAGGGGAGGGCACTGTGACCCTGGGTACGGGAGGGCCTGTCCTGAGCCCATGGCGGTGGTAAATGGCGTGGCCAAGCGTCCTGCAGGCACCGGGGGCGGTGGCGGGGGGATGCGCCGAGGTAGCATGGAGGGAGGCCCGCTGGCCTCCGAGGTAGGGTAGGGCAGGGGGGCAGCGGGCGCCGGCTCGGGCACCCTGGGCAGCAGTGGGGCCAGCACAGAAGCCTGTGGAAGTCTCTGCCCCTTCAGCACCAGCTCCTGGAGCTTCTCGATTTTAACTCTTCGAGTGTGGGCCAGTTTCCGCTGGCTCTGATAGACCTCGATGAAGGAGTCCAGAGGAAGCTCTCCATCAAGAAACTTCTCTGCCATGTTCTGAAAGCAGCAGGACAAAGCTGGTTACAGGGACAGGTCAGCCCTTAGGGAAGGAAGCTCCTTTCACCACCCAGTGAGAGACGACACCCAGCTTCCTTCCGTCCCCCACTCCCCACTGCAGACCCTAGCTGACCTCAGAGCAGCCCCCCCGCAGAGAGAAGGGGAAAGAGGTAGCTGGTCCTGACCGCCCGCCGCACCCCCACAAGCTGCACAAGGCAGCAGGCCTGATGGGGAGCCAGCCCTTGAGGAAGCGGGCCTCTCGGCAGTCCTAAGCTGCTGAGCTTCGAGGCCCAGAGGAAAGCCCCCGACCCACTTCCCACCCGCCCTAGTCCGTTTCCTTCCTTCCACCGTACAGAGTCCGTAGGACAGAGACAGGCTCGTGCCCCACCAGGGAGCCACCCAAGCCCAGGGCTGAACTCGACCACCCGGCCTAACTTGGCAACGTGCCGCCCACCCCAGCTTGCTACAACTGTGCAACTTTTGACCCGGACTCAGGGCCTTATTGCTTAGTGCGGCTCAAACCTCAAGCGCTCAGCGAGCTGCATCTCAAAGGCTCTGCCCCACCCGCGGATTCAGAGCCGAGGGTGCGTCGGCCGCCGAAGCCCTGGGACCGGCGTGGACTCGCAGTACAGTGCGCACCGCTCGCTGGAGCACCAGACCCACTACAGCCTCCTGGCCGCGGAGGAACTGGCCCACTGGCTCCCAAAGTGGCCCAGACCCTGGCATCTGTGCCCTGGGGCACCGTACCCACGCCGGCTGGCTTTACCTCGGTGTCTTCCTCAATCTTGGCCCCTTCTGCCTGCAGGAGCGCCAGCAGGGTCTCCAAGGAAGCGCTGCTAGACTGCTTGTCTGGAAGAAGCAAGGGGCATGATGAGAGAAGGGGGCATCCGGGCCCCAGCCCCTCAGAACAACATGCTCCCCCAGGCTCCATGCCATCCTCCTTTCAAAGAAGGGCGCACCTTAACTGGAAAGGTAACAGCTTTCTAGGGAGCTGAAAAGTCAAGGCCTTAAAATCCAAGAGAGGAAGGAGCACAAAGGACAAAACAGGGGACAAGCTCGGGGCCACACCATGCGTCTGTCACCATTGGCCCTACAGAGGGCTGTCACCCAACACACAACGTAACATGAACCACCCCATGCAGATTTCCTTTGTATAACTTACATCAAGTAGATGTCATTTAAGTCTAGGACCTCAATTTTTACGAGTGTATAAACCCCAACCACCACCACCCAGATCAGGATACAGAACATTCGCAAAGGCTCGCCAGGCCCGCTCCCGGGGACTGGCCCCGAGGCGGCCCCGATGCCCAAGTCCTGCCTGGCTGAGAACTTCATGGGAGCGCATCACCCAGGGCGTGCTCTGTGCTGCCTCCTTCCAGCCCACACCGTGGATCTGAGATCCCGGTTTCCTTCAATGTCCACTGTGTAGAGACCAAAACTCACGGACCCAGCATTCTGTACACGGACATTTAGGTGGTTTCCAAACTCCGCTATTACAAAGCTACGTGAACATTCTTGGGCCTGTCCATGGACAGCCACGAGCGTCCATCTCTGCCAGGGGCACACCCAGGGGCGGACTGGCTGACTCACAGAGTCAGCACAGGTTTCCTTCAGGTAGGTTTTGCCAAACAACTTTTCCCAAGCTGATTTTTACCAATTTACATTACAAGGTACATCCTCCCAGCAGGAAAGAGCTCCTCAGGCTGGGCCCGACTTCCTGAGCTTTTACTGCAGTGACGCAGACGCTGAGGGAGTCCTGGTATCAGACCTCACTGAAGGGCGGGGCTTCTAACCTTTTCTTCACCGGAGCCCCCTCGAAAGCCACGCAGAGCACTCAGGACTCCATACTCAGTTCCTACAGCTCTTCATAATGACCATAAATCTAAGTGTGATGTTAAGATGAAATGTCCCCATGAGGACTATTTCTCAGCACTAACTCTGAGGGCCTAACGCACAGGAGGAGACATTTGTTAAATACCATGATTCAGAAAATTACCTTTTTTCTAGGTTGTCTGGAGAAGGTGAAATTTTGTTTAAAAAGTCGCTAAGTCTCTTTTCTAAATAGGTGGAATGACTCTGTATATAAACTCTTTCTTTGTGGCCTTAACCAGTGTCTCAATCTGAAATTTTTCCATAATACTACTTCTCTCCTGGTAGCCCAACAGCTTGAAAATGTGTCCTTCCCTCAACTCTTTATTCTGGAAGGATCACCCTGGAAAAGTTACCTAATTTGGTCTTCTTTATCTGATAGGCTTCAAAGAGAACCTGGAGTTCCTGGTATTTTTGGGTCAAACGTGCTTTCAGGGAGTCCAGTTGGGGCTGGTACAGAAGGTTTCCTTCTGCCAGGCTCCGGTTGCTGGCAAGTGTCATTTCTTTGTTGAGCTGAACATTCTGCGTCTGTAAGGAACACAGGATGATGAGAACCAGCGAGTGTTAGTTCGCAGACCAGTACCCCGAGGTTCCTGAGCCCCACCCCCGGGAGCCCCAGCATCTGCTTCCGTCGTCGTTGGGCTGGTCCCCAGCTGAGACCATATGCAAGCCACTCCCGGCCCAGACTCCAGCCCCTCTGGGTTTGTAGTTTGGACATAGCTCCCTGTTCTTAAAGAGGAAAGCCACTTCCTTTCCAACGATTTGCAGCCGGGCTTTGTCTTGTGACTTGTCAAGGCTCTTTGCTTCGCTAGCTGCGCTGTGGCTGGGATCCCTTTATTCCTCCACTGTGCTTGCGGGTCCAACAGCTGTAAAGATTTAGGGCTAGATTTGTTCAAAACCAGTTTCTTCTGCTCCACAGGAAGTTAAAGAATCACTTTTAACAGCAGAGAACCAGCTGGCATGGTGTCAATTCAGGCTCAATCATCAGGCTTAGAGATCAAACACAAAAGCCTGACACCCCCTGGGAACGAATTCCGTTTACAGTGACCCTGCTCGCTCTCCCACGCCTACCTCCTGCTCCTCCTCTGACTGAGGGCAAGGCAGGGGTCCTCCCAGCTCCAGACCCAAAGCTGGGGCCAGGGGGCTGATCTGCCCGCCAGGCATTATTTGGGAGGGAGAAGGCCCGGCGCCCAGGACCACAAGAGTGAGGGGGAAATGTTAGGGTCTGAAAACAAGGCAAAGAATTCCTAATAAAACTTGGCAAAACTATGTTTAAAGAAAACCCCAAATACATGGGACACCATCCGTACTGGCTAGTGACAGGACTCCGCCACCATGGCCTGCCCGCAGCAACCTCACTGTGTGGACCTGAAGTTTCACAGTGCACGGTCCTGCCCCGTTGTGCTGTTTTCTCGCAGCTTTCCTGCGACCCAACGCCAGTTATCTCGTTTTCCCCTTGATATTTGCTGCCACCCCACCCAGGCTATTTTCTTTCTTTTTTTTTTTTT